GGGCAGGTTGTAAATTGCCAATAAGATAACCACCTTCCTCAGGAATCCAGTCCATCAACCAATGAGGGATTTGTTCAGGGTAGATGTTGAATTTGTTAGTGGCTTCAGTGGAATACTCCTCTGTCTTATATCGATATATTTCATTGATCTTTTTCATATCAACCCAATAATATTCTCTAATGTGAAATGACAATGCACTAAGTCTGTTGTTTATGGCATTCACCAAATTCTTGGATCCGTCATCCAAAGAAAGCAGCTCATGGGAGCACCTAAGTGCTGAGTAAAATAATGCCTGCAACATCAAACAATCCCAAAAAAGATCAAAGGGAGAATCATCGAAGGAAAACAATGATAGCACTTCAGATCACTCGCTGAAAATGTGCAACCCAGAAATATACAATACATTATTAACATTGTTACTTTTTATTTGGTAAAGCCACTCCCCTAAATACCTAACCTCATCACTGGAGGTGGAAGGATCCTTCCGACTAGCTATCCAACACTTGTCAACATAGAATAAAAATATTAAGATTATGCCACCCTCTCCTACTGTGTGAAGTTAAGGAAAGATCAAGTTCCAAAGTTTATACAGTTCAGCTATCACCAAATTCTCATTCACTGTAATATCCTAGAAAAAGGGGCATCTATCAAATAAGTATACACCAATGTCAGCATACAACTCACAAGATGAACTTAAAATATATCTTAAACACAAAAAGAGGAACAGGCTACACCAATTGAACATTCAAAAGATAATTGGCAGTATCAACTTACTTGAATCTCAAGTGGATGTCCATGAATACCCATCCGTCTATCTATCATGCAGGAACCATCAGTGACTAGCAAAGAAGGAAACATATCAAACCCATCAGACAAACACAGGTTTATTATCAGCTTTATGCCAGTCTGTACATCCACTCTTTCTTGTAATCCATAGTCACCGGTTATCTTCCCATAAGCTCTCAATAAGATAATCCACCACAAGCCTGAAAAAGTCACATTTTAAGATCTTTCAATATTCATTTAACAGATGGAGCTAAAGTACCAAACTTTTGTGATGATTCTTTTCTTGACCAATTTTCTTTCCTTACAGTTATTTATTTTTCTAGAGGACATCCTTCAAAGAAATAAATAATAAACTATAACTGCGAACTACCTCTTCACTAGTGATAAACACTTATGGAGACTAGAAACAATTAACCAAGATACTCTCTTCTTGCATTTTTTTAAAAAGGTTAGTATTAATACTCTCTTCTTACATTCAACAACCGATTTTCTACTTTGGTCCAGTCCACATTGGCATCCACTTATCATTTTTATAAAGGTGTACAAATGTAACAGTATATTGCTCTCAAGGAAAAGTTTAAGGTAATTTATACAAAAAGTGAACACCTGAGAAAAGTTCTCCTCTTTCTAAGGCAACTTTTTCTTTAACTGATCAAGTAACTAATAGTTCCCAAATGTTCAATCATTAGTTAATAAACAATAAGGTTGGATCCTCCTGTGAATGAGCAGACATTATGGGACTTACTATTAAATGAAGGGAATGAAAAGTAAACACACACCTGAGTCAACAGGTGCTACACGGCCAATAGCTGACTCCCCAAAATCTGGGTCTAGAACTTCTTCATATTTGTTATCATCGAGAGGCACTGTTCTGACTTTAAAACTTGCAGGCATCAACCCTTGCCCTGGACTGTAACAGTCCACAGTTTTCTCCCAACTCTAAATTATAGAAACCAACAGTTGTCAATTCATTTGCAGTAAATCAATTAATAACCCAGACCAATATCTACTCAAACACAGAAAAAATGGGAAGGAAAAACATGTGTCCAACCAACAACAAAAATAGTTTATCCCAATCATTGGTTTTTGACTAAATCTGAAGATGCATCAATGGAAGATCTAAACAATGAAATATATGTAGCTAATCATGTGATCACATAACAATAATACTATAATAGCTGATGCTATTATTGCGACTGGATGAAGGGATATATGGTTGAATTTACAACATAATCATGAAATTCCTTTTTAAAAGATCAATTCTCCAGTCTCCACCAAATAAGGATTCAATAAAGAATCTCAGAGAAGCAAATCATATACAGTCCTGATCTCACACTTACCTCGAGTATTTAGGAAAAACCAAAAAGTTCAGCCAGGTCCCCGACCCCTCTCTCCAAAAAACAGAAAGCATTATCAATTCTAAGTCCTACTGGTACATGTGAGACCTTTTCTGTGTTTTACTTTCGAAAGTAGGCAAAGGCGAGATAAACAATACTAATTATTATGTGAATCTAAAGCTACCACAACAGCACATCCAATTGGTAGAAGCAGAAATTTAATACCACAAGCAAGTAATTTTTGAAGACTACCTGCAATTGGAGAGTGTGAAGTAGAAAGTTTCTAACAATCTCTTTCTCCCCCTTGAGTAAAAAAGCGAGGGCGGAAGGAATAAAATCCCTAATAAATACTTGATCATAATTCAATGGCAATTTATCATTAGGATCATTAGCAGCAAGAGTCCCTATAGGGCTCCCACAATATTTAACAACAGCATTCTCCAACAACTTCCATGCTTCCTTCACCGTCTGTGACTCCTCACCCTCTTTCACGCTCTCAACTTTCTCATGTTGACCAGTTGCAGCATGTTCATCTAAATCAGCATTTTCCAACCCCAATGGCTTCTTCGCATTGAAACCTCCTTGAACATAAATCCTTTCAAAATTCTTGTCATTATTAACACGGGTTTTCTCAATGGAAGTTGAATGATTCCTAAAGTCAGATGCAACACTAGCAATAACACGGAAACCTCTCTTTGAGGTCCCCATCGGGTTAATGCCATTAAAATTTCTTGAAAAAACCCTAGATTGACCACAAGATGAATTTCGCATAACACAAAACAACTTCTGGGTCCGATTGATAATCCTTCCATTGCCCAAAATACGAGATGGGTAGCTATAAAAATCACATTTTTGCCTGAAATTAGACAAATTATGGGTCTTCTTGAATGGAAGACCCAGAAAAGAATTGCTTCTACATGGTATTAAAATTCGACAACAAGGCGTCATAGTTATCAAATTGATTGATTTCATACAGTAAATTATCCAAAATTTGGCAAATATATGGCTTGCAAGAAAGTAGTTAAAAAGTTTGTTGATGTTGTAATAATGTATTGTGTGATGAACAGATTTTTGTGATGAACAATATTTGAATCAGCAAACATATAGAGGGAAAAGAGAAAATCTTGGGATAAGATTAAAAAAAGAAAGAAGAGAGATTCAATTTTGGGAAAGAGAGAAAAAAAAATGATTCTTGGAAAGTTTGAAGAACTTTGGAAAGTGGGAATGGCTAATTCAGATGTAGAGAGTTATTTATAGCCGCCAGCATTGTGATGGAAGAAATTCATTTTTCTTTTTTCTATTTCGACCACTAGAAAATACGATTTTAGAAAAAGGAAACAAATAAAACCAAAAATAGGATGAAAAAGTTTCTTGTCACTATTGCTAGTTTTGGAGGAAAAAAAAGGCAGCAGGAGAATTTTTAATTTTTTTTTTTTAGGTGTTAAACTAGGAATGAAGATATTTAGGATAACGTGAAGTGATTTGATAAAATGAGAAAAATAAAGTTGAGATTATTTAGGATATAAAGATGGGAAGCATAGATGTGAGGTGGGAGGTTGACAATGATTGGTGAAAAGGTATTGGGAAGATGAATAGAGAGGACGATGTGTATTTTGAGTTGGTCATAATCTTAAATAAAAAGATACGAAAATCGCAAATTAGAGTAGAATTTGATAATTATTAGATGTTTTCTTATTTTCTTGTTGGGGTTATGATAGGGGTGATCATATTGGTACCAACTCTCTTGCAAATAGTATTTATTGACACTATTCTTGTAGTTTCTTGTTCGTTGATTGTTATAAATATTTATATTTTTCATGCTTTATTTGTCACACTAGTTGGTTGTTGTTATTGTTCTTTGATTGTTACGACTTCCATTTTAATTTTTTTCAAACAACTTTGAGATGTTTAGAAAGCAAAAAGCCTATCGCAAACAACCTTTTTTGTAAAATTATATTGCATATGTTATTATTTGAACATAAATTTGTTTACAAATTTTTTAAATTCAAAAAACTTCAAAATAGTTATTTTCGCTCTAAATTGCTCACAATTTAAAACCATTGTATTCATATTTAAACACAAATTCAATTTTAAAATATCATATTTAATTTAAAATTACATACTATATCTTCTTCCAAATTTCACTTTTTTTTTCTTCACTTAATTATTAAAGATATTCCATGAAGAACTCCTTAATTAGTTGGGAGCGCTAAGTCTTGCATGATTGAATTTGGATTAATCTAATCCGTTAGTAAAGACACATGCTTCTATAATTAATAATTACTCATAATTTGTTTATACATTTGGAGATTTTATACCTTACAGCTAACAAATTAACCAACTCAGTCATTTAAAAAAAAAAAAAGAAAACCGTTAGTTCTTAATTTAGGGAAATACTATAAAAGAAAATGTTCACGACAAGAAAAGCAAAGATAAAACGTAAGGAGCTGCCCATGGAATTTTCCACTTTGCACAAACGGTCAATTTTAGAAGCCAAGTTGCAAACTTCTCCAGTATATTTGTCATTTGAGATAAGAATACCATTTTTTTTTCCATAGGAAAATACAATCAGTACGTGTGAGAAATATGAGACATGACTTGTTGAAACAAAAGCAACGTACGTAGGAAAAAAAAAACAAATTCAAGAAAAATAGACAAGTGCTGGTGACCCACTAATTTAATTATAGAGTTGTTATCCACAAAGGATATGGTATGGCCCTCACTGGAATTCAATTCATGTCCACTCATAATTTGCAACAACGACTAAAATGTGTAAAAGATGGATGATTAACTTTTTGAAGTAAATTCATTTAGAATCATAGCTGAAAAAGTTCAATTTCCAAAAACTGATGTTAAGATTGATAACTAAAGACAAGCTTCCAAATAATCCTGCTAGCTCCAATATTATCACATTATTGGCACCAAAAAAGGAGAGGAAAGAGGAGTCCAAATGATCCAACTTGCCTTTTCCACATGTACAAAGTTAGGTTTAAAAGTAATGGGAATATTGAACACAAGCAAAGCAAAAAAATCCACATCGCTGTATCAGGGTTACAGAGCTTATGAAGCAATGATCAATTCAAAACATTGCTTCATCAGTGTTATTTTGATGAAAAATCTTTCTGAAATAGTCTGATTTTTTTCACATTGGATAAAAGATCATGTAAGAATAAGATTCTATCATACAGAGAACTCTTCAACAGTCTCAATCAACATCAAAGCTCTGAAATTTAATTATGACCTGACTTCATATTGCCCAGACCTGGTTAGAGCTCGAAATCCTTTATATGGTCGGGTAGGTAGATTCTTGAAATCAAGTTTTTCTATTTTCAAACCTGAGAGTGCAACACCCAAAATTTTAAATCCCACAAGAAACGTAGGGAATACATGAAGCCGCTCAACTCCTGTTTCCAACACTAATGTTCCAGTCATTGAAGGAGTTTTGTCTTTGGGCATCCTACCAATGGACCAAGTGCATGTCTGCACTAATAAATCAACATGTCAAAGACAAAACTAGAAAAGTTTGCAGATTAAGGCCGCCTCTATCACATAATTGTTTCTGTTATTTTACGGTAGGACTACAACTGACTACAAGTATCTTCATTCATTTACTTCTGCTTAACTGCCAGACACAAGCATTACTACGTACCTTGTTGGAAAGGATGTTTACTGTTCCATAATTTGATGTAAGATCTGCAGATAAAACGCGAGGGGGTAGTTGAAATTGAACGTTTATATCATCAATTGCCTTCCCAGGATCATTGCGTATCCCAACTAACAAGCTAATACGACATGTCCCTGAGTCTGAAGTAATTTGTGGCTTTACATATATAGGGGTGCTCTTCAACTTCTTTATTCTGCATGGTGTAGATTAGAGAGGGAGAAAAAAAAGTTTAGACAAGGTAAACGCTGCAAAGAAGTGAAATCTTTAATGCAATCCTATAGTGAACACACATGCTTGGTTTACAATTTGCCATTTCTTGTAATTCATGTTTGGTGGATGCACATTGTAGTTTCAAAATCCACACATAACCCCATCAACAATGGATCAACTGCCACTACTTGTGAATACATCTCATTAAATAGTAATTATCGGAAAAAGACATACCTTTCCTTCTGAAAATACAGTGCATTTATAAATACTTCAGGTTTCATTATGCATGCATTGACAGTTCAACTTTCGTTATTGGAAGGAGCAAGTTAGCAGCATGAAATTTAGTCGGAGTTTCAATATTGACAAATATTTTCATTTCATCAAAAAGGTTTTTTTTTTTGCTGGGTTGACCCTCCTTACCAAGCAAGCAAGGGGTTAATTTTATGGGTTCCAGTATCAGAGGGAATAAATAGAAGATAACTCTATGATGTACAAGTACATACCAAATGTAAGCACAAGATTAGAGTACTTTTTACATAAAGTCAAAACCACCAAATTTTGATCATGAGTGGAGGCAACTGCACTAGTTAACACCACAAACCTGTAGCTCATGAGCTTGAATTGTCCATCAGGAGGAACAAAAGACAGAATTTGGTTTGATTCCCATGGTCGTAGTCGAACACAAGGATGGAATCTTACATCATTCAGGATGGAAGTATTTGCAAATGAAAGGGTAAGATCAGGAAGACCAGAAAGATGAGAATTCACTTGAACTTCACCATAGATCTCACATTTCACCAGAACCCCGTCTCTGAGAAGCATAAAAAAACTAGAATCAGAAGCCTTAGGTAATTGGCTATTCCTGTAAACCCTAGTTCAAGAATATAACAAATAAGAAAAAGATGCTCCAATGGTCAAGTGTATTCAGACTTAGAACCCCCAATTTCGAAAAGCAATCCATTATTCGGCATATCGTGAAGAAGAAAACAAAATCAATTTGGTCACAGCAAAGAGAAGAATGTGGCATGGAAAAAGTCAGGTCTTCTGGGCAGATTCCACTATCCGCCTTAGGTGCAGTTACATTGCCCATAAAAGAGAAAGGAATGTCCGCGTGTTTTATATGAAGAGAAGTTTGTTCAGAAAAGCAATTAAGAAACTCTTATTTGTCCTGCAAATATCACAGAACATACAAGAAATGGATTTCTTTTTCCTTCATTTTACTTCACGGCAGTCTTCAAGAAGTTCAGTTTCTAGTAACTTTCTTGAAAATTCAGAGGAAGTCTTGGAATTCTCTTTTGTATATATATAATGGTCTAGGGTTCACTTTTATAATACAACAGATTGATAGAAAGGAAATGCTCATCGAAACAATATAAGAAATGTAACTTATATACTTTGACAAGCACACATATACATGTGTATGCATACTATAATACATTTCAATTCTCAAGGATGCTGCCAGATTCCCCTGAAGAAGCCATTTGTACTAGTGCACAAAAGCATGCCTTTTATGTGGCATGAAGCAGATCATAACTCTATGGCTCCCGCTGACGGTTGACTCCACATCGAAATAGTTTAAACTTTAAGCATAATGGAGAATAGAATACTAAACTACTTAAACATTTACCTTGATAGAACAAAGATGACGTCAAAGTTAATTTGAATGGTTAGATGAATTTGAACCCTCAAAAATGGTATAATATAATAATAGAAAAGTGTGGAACATTTTGAGATATTACCTAGTAGAAAAATGTCACATGAATTGAAATAGTGGAAAGAGTTCATAGGTAACATGGAAAGAAAAAAGTGTTACCTTCAAAATTAACCTGCGCCAGTTTTCACACTATCCTTTTAAGATCACTCTTTGATTCTTGAAATCTTAACCTCTAGATGTTTTTATGTGAGATTTTAACCTCTAGGGTATACCCGAGATTGCTTCGAAGTAGCATATCATTGTGTTTACCCTTCACCTTTTGTGATACAATGGGTTACGTCATGTCAAACTTAAAAGTTTGATGATAAATATAAGATTTTAAAGATATTAATAGACAGATTCTCACATACTGAGAAATAAGGAGCTGCAAATGGAGGTTAAGTGATAGTAAGATATAAACCTATTTATAGTAGCATCCATTTCTTCAACTAAATCAACATAAATTTCATTGCTTGAATGCTTCAGGTCTGTTTTTCTCCAAGGAACACAAGATCCTGTTGCACCTGGAAGTGTGTTGCTCATGTTGGAAGTGTTACCAGTCACAACACTCAATACTTTGCTTACGATATTTGGAGGAGCTATCATTTCCCTTAGTATATTAGGTTCTGTAGTAAGAGGGAAACCATTGTCTATCATCTCATCCAAAAGCTGCATATCAAAACAAATGTTAAGGCCATAGTCAATTTGAAGTCCACCAGCATATAATTAGTGTGTCGAAGGAAATTTAACAAGACAGTTTGGGAGGAAAATCTTCCTCATTCTGTGTCCACAGAAGTTTTAGTTCTCTCTACTTTTGCTGAAGTTCTTAGAAGAATCCAACACCTGTTTAGAGTTCTGTCCCACGGCAATTTTTTATTAAGCTATTCTTTGAAGTCTCAAGGATCTACCAGATATTTCAAGCTTCAGTAAATGGAACATCTCACAGCAGGTAGGGCCATAGCTCATAGGGGGGTTTGGAAGGAAAGAAAAGCCAGCTTTATGCAGTGTTCAGCATGTTAGCAGTCACCTAGTGTATTTGGCCTAATGCGATGAGCGAGCACTTTAGGATCTTTACAAGCCAGAATTTGGCAGGTTCTTCTTTTTTCTTTTTAGAACTGCCTCTTTTGTGCATCAATAAATATCATGGTAACAGGCTCTACAGTTGCACTGGTAGTTGGTCAACTGGTAATTTCGGCCAAAAGCCAACAAAAGTTTTGGAGTGGAAAAATTAATACAAAAACTGTACAGGAACATGTCAATAGTATAGGTTAACAGACAACATTTGTGATTGCACTAAAGTATGTGAATAAACAATTAGTAGGAAAGAATTGACAAGGAAAAAGAAGAAAAAGAAAAGGGAGTTGAGAAATTCAACCAAATCACTCTATAGAATCTGACTGTACATTGTGATGGACTGAAAGTACAGCTTGTTTAACATCTTCTTACTTTGATGGTTTTTAAAAGGTTTAACTTAGCCTGGTTAGCATCTTTCCAAGCTTCCTAACAAAATTTTTTTTTTTTTTTGGTAAGAAAAGTATCTTTACAAAATATATTTTGCAGCAAGCAATTCCAAAAAAAGAGCTTGGAGATGTCAATTACCTCATATACAATCACAAAATTATCCTTTATCAAATCTTCATTCAACCCTCCAAGATATTCTGACAGGACATCAGCTACTCTGCACAAGAACTAGAAATTAAATAGTTAAATTATCAATAAGGCCCTCATTTGCAGAGATGATACAGGGGTTCAAAGTTAATAAGCAAACTGTAGTAGCCAACTAGCCTCCCTGTGTTCACCTAGCAGCAAAAGACTACAATAGCTAGAGCTAAAACTTTGACATATCGATTCAATGAATCAGTTAGCAGAAAAAGCTCAACTGCCAGGTGCAAGGACTTCCAATAGTATGACTGGACTCTTACAGATCTAATCCATGTAACCAATAAGAAAAGCCCACAAAGGGCATACCTACTATGGCGACAGCAAATATAAGGTTTAATGAACTCTACTACGACAAACACATCTAACATACATTTATATATTGTGGATGAAGGGGGCTCTACACCATAATTTGTTTGCCTTCCAATAACCAATTACTATAACATACTAGTGTAAATAATCTTGAGAGTCACACATTAAAGGGTCCTTCTCTTCTGATAACCACAAAATTCCGTGAGTTAGCTGGTCCAATACCGGTTAGCTCACAGGTCAAAACCGGGGAAGTATCCGCCACACTATTTTACTTCCACTTACGTACCATGCTCCTATCATTTTGATGACCAACATACCATGCTCCTATTCAGTGGCTAGGTTCAATCTCACATCGGAGTTGCATCCTTCTCACTGAACCAAAGCCCAGGGGCCAAAATGCTATGTTTTTATCTCAAATCCTTCAATATCCTCTCGACGTACTAATCAAATAGAATACTTTCAGTTGAGATTGAAAGCAATAGTATGCTAGGATGTTCATATTTTAAATTGGTAAGAATTACAAGAGGCATCACCATTTAACATATTCTGGTCAGGTGTTTAGTAGTTCCAAGACAATTCCATTAAACCCATCTTGTCTCATAATCTTATTTTAGAAGAAATCAATCCCGCAGCAACAACATAAAATAACCAAGTGTATTACCTCAATTGCCATTAAAGGTGGCATTTCCACTTGGGTGCACGCCAAGAAGGTAACTCCTTCACGATTAACTTGGAAAAGGTAATGCGTTGGTGAAGCAATCACCGGTAAATGCTGCGACAAGCCAAAACTTTTTTCAAGATAAAGTTTCAAACTTGGTCAAGCAAAAAACACCAGTAAATTCAAGATCAAAAATCTTGATTTTCTCTATACACTCAGTTTTATAGCATCTTTAACTATAACGTTGGAACAAATTACTGTTATGCCCCTACCTTGAAGGAATCACCTTGAGCAATTGACTGATCCCAAAACCAGGAACATATTGCTCTATCAACCCAGTGTCCAGTAAGCTGTTTTTCCAGCATCACTTCCCTACAGAGTCATTGAATTACACAGATCTTCAGTAACAAACTTCAAATCAAATGCCCAGTGATTCAATATCCCAATAAATACAAATTAAAATGTAAAGAACCCCTTTTTTAATTACGATTAATATGAATTTGACGGAGATTAAGAAGAAGAAGAAGAAGAAGGGAAGGATACCCGGAATCGGAGAGAAGAAAAATGCATTGCAACATAACTTTGCTTTCTTTACTCTGAAATGGAGTTGGAACCAATTCACCTCTCTTCTTTCTCAGCCGATATCATTATTCTTATTTCCTAATTAAATAAATAATCAAAAAGTTTAATATGGGAAAAAAGAAAAATAGAAAAATGACAAAAAAAGGTCCCTTATTTTGTTAATATATCAAAATAATCCCTTATGTATCAATACGAACAGTTTTGATCCTATAAGTTTGTACTTTACATGAATTTTTGTTTTGATGCCATGTTAAATGTTAAATTAGATATTAAACTTAATCCATCTCAAAAACTAATTAAAAGAAAAAGGATTTCTCAAACCTTATTATTAGGACTAAGTCGATTCATCTCATTATGCATGTTTTCGACATTCCTTTAACAAATCATAATTGTAGTTTTAACACTATCTACATTTTGTCTTAATATAATAGTGAATAATGTGTATATATTCTACGTATTATTTAATGAAAAAATTTAAAAATTGTAGATCCTTCACAAAATTACGATAAGCATTGAGTTATTATTATTGAATTTTAAATTCAAAATAATGTCAAGACAACTTTTTCGCAATTTAATTTGTCTTATAAAAAATTAATACAGATTATTGGACATATTTACTATTTTAGATTTTCATCATGATATTCTTAAAACGAAGCAGTAGAAAAAAATACGATAAAATAGTTCATTTATAATCCTACGATTAAAACCTTATTTAATTTGAATTATCAGTATTAGAATAAAATATAATGTACTATTATCACCTTATCGATCCAATAAAAACTTGAAAAAATATGGAGATCGAAAGAAAAATGAGAAGAAGCCGAAACCACTCACGACAAATTAAAGGATCGGAACTGAGTAGAACAACACATAACTCCAAAACCTTGATATAGTTATTAGTTGAAAAAACAAATTGTAGTATTCCCATTTATATGAATGCCATGTGGCAATGCACAAAGAAATACACGTAGAGTAGCATGTGGCACCGCTCTCCGCCACGTGTCTGTCTACCATCACAATTGTTTAACTCTCAACGCTATCCGTTGCAAGTTTTTTGGTCGGTGAAAAATTTTCCGTATGACGGTATCTCACTGTCCATGCAACCGCGTTCCATGCATGTACTACTACTATATATGTTAGACACAAATTAACCATACTGACAATTCTCATACATATCATTAAAAAAAAACTGTTACAAAAATAAAAAGATAAATATGGCTCCAGAATTTGAAAGTGGAACAAAAATGGCTACTACTATTCAAAAATCATCATGTGCTTATGTGACTTTCTTAGCTGGTAATGGTGATTATGTGAAAGGTGTGGTTGGTTTAGCGAAGGGATTGATAAAAGCTAAATCTATGTATCCTTTGGTTGTGGCAATTTTACCTGATGTGCCTGAGGAACACAGGATGATATTGACGAGGCACGGTTGCATAGTGAAGGAGATAGAGCCACTAGCTCCTTCATTGCAATCGTTGGATAAGTATGCACGATCTTATTACGTGCTTAACTACTCCAAACTTCGGATTTGGCAGGTAAAGTAAAGCTACTATAATTATTGCGATGATTGTGATTTGTTTTTATTGATGATATGATCGTTTTTTGGTATTGGATTGCAGTTTGTGGAGTACAGTAAGATGGTGTATTTGGATGGAGATATGCAAGTTTTTGAGAATATAGACCATCTATTTGAGCTGCCTGATAAGTATTTATACGCGGTGGCGGACTGCATATGCGATATGTATGGGGAGCCATGTGATGAGGTTCTGCCGTGGCCCAAAGAGTTGGGGCCAAGGCCATCTGTTTACTTCAATGCAGGCATGTTTGTCTTTCAGCCAAATCCGTCTGTCTATGTTCGTCTCTTGAACACACTCAAAGTTACCCCACCCACCCAATTTGCTGAACAGGTATATATACATTTGTGTGCATATGAAGTTATGTTTCTATAGCACATTCTCATGTACATCCTTTTTGTAGGACTTTCTGAACATGTACTTTAAAGACGTGTACAAGCCAATTCCTTATACATACAATATGTTGCTGGCCATGCTATGGCGCCACCCGGAGAAAATAGAGGTGAACAAGGCGAAAGCAGTTCACTACTGTTCTCCAGGGGCTAAACCGTGGAAATACACTGGGAAGGAAGAACATATGGATCGAGAGGATATAAAAATGCTAGTGAAGAAATGGTGGGACATTTATAATGACACCACACTGGATCACAAGGCGCAGGGTTCCACAGTTGAAGCAAACAGATTAAGGGGAGCAGCCTTTTCGGATACGAACATAAGTGCTTTATATATTACTAGCCCATCAGCTGCTTAACTAAATATACGACTGGCAATGATCAACTCTTGATGTTATTAGTTGTGGAGGGTATCATGAAAAAATACTGCCACTTGTTTATTTTTTTTGGCAGGTTTAGTTTGGTGGTCCAATAAGAGTGAGTTTTTGTATTATTTGCAACTTATATAGTGTGTGTGAATCTTAGTGATAATTATATAATCTGTGAACAGATGTTGGAACAGCACTCTATGGAAATTATATATATTCATGCTGTCTTTCAATTTACTTTCCTTAATGATTTTAAACTTTATAGTGCTATAGCAGCAGCTAAGAGCTTCAAAAGTAGAACCAACTATAGAGATACTAGAATATTCAGGTAAGGTAAAATTCACCTCTAGGCTTACCATGTAAATATGGAGACATGCCGAGTTGGTAATTGTCCGCGAAAAATGTTATTTGGGATTCTCAAAATTTATCTTACAAGCCATTATCTTGAAACAACAAAGAAAAAAATCACATTCCAGATGCATAACCGAACCTGTCAACAAAATTGTCATATAAATTTTTTTTCTAGCTCATCTCCCCAACAAAGCAACGCGATCTTTCTGAACGGCCTGTGACAAACTTATGTCAAAGAGCTCACACCGGATCGGCATTTCCATTTCATAGAAAGGGTTCTTCAAGACGTAATCAGTGTATAATTCATAGATATACTTCAACAGGGACTCCATATGAAGAGTTCCAGGCTCACAGACCACAAAGAATTTTGTTCCTGCAAGTAAATTAATCAAAAGTGTAAACCTGAATGACAGCAGTGACTGAAGGCAGAAAGATTTGAGAAATAAGATGTAAAATTGAGTATCAAGTCAGATGTTCCATGGCAGTCTCAACTCAGACGCACTAGTTTGCCTGAAGCACTAAACATTCTACCAGCCTATCAAATTTTTACCAAGTGGCTTTCCATGTATTACTCATTAGTCTCCATCATTTCCGTTGACTCATTATACAAGTGAACAACTTCCATTGTTTCATCATTTCCGTTGACTCATTATACAAGTGAACAACTTCCATTGTTTCTTAAAAAATGAGCAAAGAGCTGCCATCTTCACCAAATATGTTCCTGTTTTCGAATATTTCACTTCTTTCAACTTAGTATCATCGAAGGGAGAAACTTAATTCTGTGAGGTACAGTTTCAACACAACAATATAAGGAGAATATCATCTATGCAGGTTAAGATATTAGCTATTGTTGAAGAAACATACAATCTTCTTTGGATATCTGTTATGGTTCACAATTAAGGTAGATCTTGAAAACATGGAAAGAATGAGGTCATGAAAATTTCGTCTTATTTTTTTTCTTGGTCTGTCCAACTTCAACAGATCATTCTTGCCCTGTTAGCCTTGAAGCAGGCAACTTCAACAAGGCTATGGAAATTGAAACCACGCCACAACTCATTATAAAACAGATCAAGCAGCTTGTTTGAGCCTAATTAGTCAACACTATTTTTCATTACAGAACGAATGTTATCCCTAATAAACTTGTAGGAAGCCTATATCTTTTCGTCGTTACTATTAGCCTGTACTTTGTCTATTAGCCTTTCACTTGTTATGCCCATTGGACCTGTGTATGTAGAAAGAACTTTCAACAGATTCAGCAAATCTCTTAACCAGTAGTATCAAGATAGAAACTAGGAGGCAGCATCCTTTAACAAAGCTCCAGAGAAAATAGAAAATTATACCCAATTTAGATTGTTAAATATCCATGAGCGTACTTATAGATTTGAAAAACAAGTCAGTATAAACACTGACATACATAGAAATAGGCAATCATACTGATAAAATATAATTGTTTCATTAACTGAAATTAGGGCCACTATTCAGATGCACACTGGAACAAATAAAAGAACACAAATTCCTTCTGACTAAGTTATGCCAAATATTTGGGGATCACCACATGCCTTTAGAAGTTTCTTTGTCCAAAACTTACATGATGTTTTCCATATATATCTGGGAGCTGTTTTGAGCAACAAGAGCCTGTGTAGATTCGCTTTAATAAGTCCTCCTGATTTTTATCCAAATTTAGTTTCATCTATCATTTAATCTCAAATGTCTTGATACTGCCACACTGGTGCATAAAATCTCAAGAAGCTGCTATAAGATCCTGATCGATAACACTAAGATTGTTAGCGCACATCACATCAGTGCGGAGGTGATCTAAGCCCTCCATACCCAGTCTTACAGAAACGTTTAGATTCTACCTGATTTTCATCCTGTAGTCTCTTAAACCACATTTCTAGCTTTTCTGGATAGAGAAATGGAAATTTCTTTGTTCCGCAATTAAAATAGGAGGGTAATTAAACAAATAAAAATAACGGAAATGGAGAAGAGATGCATGCACCACTTAAAGATGCTGCATCATATTTCCTGACATAGAAGTCGCATACAGAACTTCAGCAGGAAATCATTATTCATATTGAGCTACTTAATTGAGCCTAAAGTGCCAAATAGGTTAAACTTTCCCCCTTTCCAGCATATGAATTAAATTCTTATAACTTTTGGGCCAAAGATTTAAATTTAAGTTTGTAACCTTGTTGCTACTGAGTAAGCTTTAATTCCATTCAAGCTTATAGGAGAATTTTACAACTACAATTTACAACACAACATACATGATAAAAGATGTCAAAACCTAAAGCTGATAAAAATCTCAAAAAGAAAAAGATGCTTCTCAAAAATAAATCAGATAAAGACAAAATGGTGGAGATGTAAGAATTACCGGTAAGAGATTGGAAGCAATGTAGATCAAACGTATCAGCTTGAAGGAGTTCGATACCAGCACAACCATTAACTGGGGACAACTGCTGAGAGATAGCGTGCATAGAATGCCACAGACTAGCCAATCTCAAACTATCATTTGTGTCCATTTTTCCAGCCGAACCATAATCCTAAGGAATCTTACACACCCATTAAAACCACAAAATAAAATGACCTAAGCTGAGAAGTGTTGGAATTTATATTCACCTTGCAGAAGATAAGCCCTCCTGATTTATTGATGATGTAAAGGCTGTAAATAGCTGCCATTTATATTGAATCCTTCTGTTTGTTGATCTGAATGAATTCAATTTAGAATTTCAGTAATTTTTTGGGATGCTGACCAACTTAACAAGAATTGCTTAAAAAGCTACCCGCCCCCCCCCCCCCCGAAGAAATTATGACAGATGAAGTCAGGGAATTATCAGTTCTCAGCACCGGTATCCAGATATTTGATCAGGTGATCTTTATAATACAAGCAGAGTAATTGAAGACAATTATCTTGATTTGCTGGCACAAGCACAACTTAATCTGAACAAGAAACAATGGGCAATTAGTCCTATTCTGTCTACTAAACTCGTTCATACCTCAAATAGGAATGATATATGTTTGGAGTGGCTTAACAAACAACCTCCAAGCTCAGTACTTTATATATCTTTTGGAACAACATCATTTTCCGATAGAAAAATAAAGGAGCATGAGATGGGTTTAGAACTAAGCAAACAGAAGTTCATATGGGTGTTGAGAGATGCCAATAGAGGAGATATCTTTACTGGGGAAGATAGAAGGGTAGAGCTTCCAGAAGGGTTGGAGAAGAGATTAAAAGATTTAGGCTTAGTGGTAAGAGAATAGGCACCACAACCAGAAATCTTGGCTCGTACATCCACAGGAGGGTTCATGAGTCTTTGTGGATGGAATTCATGTATAGCGAGTATTACTATGGAAGTGCCTATAGCTGCTTGGCTATGCATTCTGACCAAGAGATAAATGGTTTCTTGGTGATGGAAATGTTGAAAATAGGCCTGATTGTGAGGGAGTGGGAGAAACGCGAGGAGCTAGTAAGTGCATCCATTATTGAGAACGTTGTGAGGAAGTTGATGGCATCAGAAGAAGGTGATGTAATTAAGAAAAGAGCAGAAGAAATGGAAGAAGCCTTGCAGCGGTCTACAGAGAAAGGGGGTGCTTCTTGAATAGAGTGTGAAACTTTCATCACGCATATCACAAGATCGACTTGTTTTTCACCAGAATTTTCAAGGATTTGATTACTTCTCATATTCATTTAAGTTAACCTGTCACTTATCTGGAACTTTGAAGTGAGATGATAGCTTTGTATTCCTCTCTTGACATATAACTAGCCAGACTACAGGGTTTTACCCATGTGTGCTATATTAGACTGTTTTATCATAAGACTTTGTTCATAGATTCCTATGTCCTTCGAAAGGTTTTTTATGAAACAGTTTTGATACTTGTCCTCTACAACTTCTTAGGGACACACATGGTCAAATTTTTAGCCAATATGCTTTGAACTTGTAATATAGCTAGAATCCTTTTACATATATGTTGCAGAATTGCACCCTTTCTTTGAGGCAGTATAATTTCTTAGACATATGAAGCAGAGTGCGCTACAAAATGTCGAAATCATATTGAAGAACCACACTTGATAAAATAAGGTACTCCATGAGACGAAAGAATGTATGTTTTCTGCTATTCTGTAATAATGGAGCATTACAAGATCATTTAAGAAAGTTTTGGCATGAACGTGTATAAACTGAAAACGGAAATTGCAAACAAGTATTCAAAGAACTTGAACTAGTCTTGGAGGTGTTACGTACTTTCTGCAGAGTTGACTTATGAGATTTATGTTATGATTACCAAATGGTTTCAAATGCTTAAACTTCTTGTCTTTCAATATATGAATTGGTTCGCCTACTGGATTAGGGTATAGATTTCATCACGACTTATGTAGAAATAAAGGTACATAACCAAAATTCAATAATTAAAAAATAATAGTACTATTAGGGGTCGTTTTGGTTGGGAACTAGGATAACTAGTCCCATCACCACGGTATAAACGGTGGGATAAGTTATCCAAAACATGGCCACCAAAGAGAACACCAAAAGTTCTCTTGATCCGAATGAATTCAATTTTCTGAAAAACATACAAAATATTGCACTGTATACCAATTTCCGAAAAGAAGTAACAACAAGAAACCCAGTAAAATCCCACAAGTGGGTCATTTCCCAAAAGAAGAAAAAAAAACCGTTCTTGATCTCTAGCAAGAGAAGATTACAGCCAATTTTTCCTGGATACAAGTAACACAAAAGAAAAAAAAATGACAGCAACTACCTACTATGCCTCTAACCCAGGTTAGTTGGTTTGTTACAAGACTGATCTCTGATTTTAGAGAGTTGATCTAAGTTAGATTGAGTACACTAGTTGATGTAAGGGGCAAAAATATTCAAACCCTAATTAGACAGGCAAAGATGAGACGAGTGAAAATGAGGAGAGTTTACCTGAATTCAGATGCAAAATGGGGTAGTCCAAGCTCTGTACGGAAGAGGATGGACAAAAGGAAAAGAGAGCAAAACAATTTTGTAGAGAAGAGTTTGGGAAAGAAAAGGATATTAATAAAAAATTTAAAATATATGCGGTGAACGTGGATCGAACACGTGACCTTCAGATCTTCAGTCTGACGCTCTCCCAACTGAGCTATCCCCGCTTTATGAAATAATTAGGAAAACAAACTTTCTTAAATCAATGCAAATGATGATTATTTTTGTTAAAACCCCCATATTTATTTTATTTTTACTGAACAATGTTTCTCTTATTGGTTAATAATTAGGGCCATGGTTGATAAAAGGTTTGGTTTTGTCTTCTTTTTTTTTTTAATTTATATCTTCCTAAGAGATTTAATTTTTACACCAAAGAAATTTGAAATAATATTAATTTTTTTCAATTTGTAAGTGATTATAAGAGATCATTTTACCTTTAGAAGAAGAAAATTAGATTTACTCAATTTGATTGTTATTTTCTTACGTATACTATTTTGGTACAATTACAAAGAGCAATACGAAAAAAATAAAGAAAACAGTTACTGATTTTATGGAATTTGTGGGAAATCGGAAGTAACTAATGTTGAAACAATAAATAAAATGTGAACGCGATTACTTTATATTATGCGAAGAAAGAGTTCGACAAATAGAGGAGTGCCAATTCAGGAGTCGAGACGATTGTTGTTGCTCCAAAAATGATTACTAAATGGAAGCGACATTTGCTTGACATAATTAAATGTAACATTGATGCACTCTTACGGTATCAACTATCAGTTTGGCGAGGATAGACGTGATGTTACGCGATCACTTAGTCAATTTATTGGTAGGAAAACTTTATCTCTTGATTGCGTGCTTACCCCGTTGTTGGCCGAGATCATAGGGTGCGTGAAGCTCTAGTTGGCTAAAGGAACGGTTCATTAGAACGATATTTGCAGTGGGAAGTGATAAGCTACTTGTGAAGCAAGCTCAGGAAGAAATTAGGTGAATTACTCTTATTTTGATTCTCTATTTTTTATCGTAAAACTCTTACCAGAGAGTTGTCTTTTCTCTCTTTGTTCGGTTGTTAAGAAATCAACAATCATATTGCTGATGGTCTAACTAAAACATTTGTTTCTATGTCTGTTTCGATGGAGTGAGATACTAACTATTCATCTCTCATTATCGATGTACTCATTTTAATTTGAATAACACGTGATGAAAGAACAATTTTAAAAAATAGAAGTGGATTTATGATTTAAAAAGAAAAAAATTTATTACCTATTAACTAAGATAAAATAGTATAAATCTATATTCAACCTTTTAAAGAAAATAAAGACATAAAAGAAAAAAGTTTCCAACGGTGCAATTAAATAAAGACCATTGAATTTCTGCCGCCCGTCGGCGAGTTGCGAGTATGGTAGTTGGAAGGGAAAGTATATATACGTGGGAAATAAGCAAAGAACGTGGCCATGGCTGAATCTTGTAATATCCTTTGCATAATTAATTTGTACTTGCTATATTAATCTGTCTCACAAGCCGAGTTTGTACTATACTTCTGTGCCGCATTTCATAGAACACTTGAAAGATTATGGCGGTAAAGGACAAAAAGCCATCAGTAGAGATCAACAATCTCAAGTTCACCTATCCTGGTATAGATGGACATCCGCCTCCCGGATCTACCCCTTTGATAGATGATTTCAACCTTACCCTTTATCCTGGTGATCGATGCCTTCTTGTCGGATCTAATGGCGCAGGTTCTAATTCTATTTCCATTCCACACATTGAAAATCTGAATTACTCTCTTTAGTATAATCAAGAATTCTAAAGGGGTTGTATTAAACTTGTTTCTCGATCCTGCTATCCCCAATTCCGAATTTTTAGGGTGCCTTTTGGTGTTGACGAAATTGTCTTTTCGTGGAAAAGAAGTTGTTTTCTTAATGATGTTTCCACCATTTGATAAGATATAGAAGGTGTGCTAACCCAGGGTAATTGTATAATGTACAAGATAAGGTACAAGGATAGTGTTTTGACATATTCTTTTTTAGTGTTAAAGGTTGACAACAATGTTTAGATGTCTGTTGTGGTGAGTAAGAATTGTCATATTTGTACAGAAAAATGACTTGCCTTCATAAAGGGAGAGGATGCCATCTTGCTTATTTTGCTAGAAAATTGTAGAAAACATAGCCAACCAAACACTGTATATACATTTTTTGCCCTACCAAAGGCATTCCCTTAATAAGAGGTTTGATTGAGATCTGAGAGACATGTTCTTTTGATAGGGAAGACTACAATCCTGAAGATATTGGGAGGAAAGCATATGGTAGAACCAGACATGGTCAGAGTCCTTGGAAGATCTGCATTTCATGACACTGCTTTGACGGCTTCTGGAGACCTCAGTTATCTTGGTGGAGAGGTGTCTCTTCTCTTGCTTTGCTCCTTCACTATCTCTTCATAGTTTATTATATTTTGAGGACTGTCACCTTCTTTAGTTTGTTAATTGCATGTCTTGGAACTTGGCAGTGTCATCTTATGTAACAATTCAATAAATTCCAGCAGCACTAAGTGCTCTTCTGTTATGTTTAACTAAGGTTAAGTTCTTGCTTAGTTGGAGTTCTATTTGGAATCAGCTTTAAAATTCAATCTCTGTAACATGGTTTCTCTCATTTATTTGTTGCTAGTTTCTACATGTAATATGGTACTTCTCAAGAAGATTTTAGTTATAGAAGCAATATGCTACGGCAGTGCTAACATCTTGTTTACGCTTGATTAAACCTGTTTCCTGAAATGACAAACATGCGACATCTTTTAAATGAACTTGTGAATTCGGAAATTGATTACCAAAGTAGAAAACTAAGTTCTGCTGTGCTTTCTGTTTTGCAGTGGAGGAGGGAAGTTGCGTTTGCTGGATTTGAGGTGCCTATCCAAATGGATGTTTCTGCTGAGAAAATGATTTTTGGGGTTCCAGGTACTGATCCACAAAGACGAGACGAACTAATTAAGGTACAGATAAAAATGAGCAATTGTTATATGCGTGAAATTCTAGAAAGTCCCATGGGCAACTCAAAAAGAATGTATCATATATTCTGCTAGTGTTTGAGGTAAACTTATAAAGGTATAGACAATATGCTAAAGCCTGGAAATATTATCTCTCTTATTCTTCTTACTAATTACCAGGCTTAATCAGAATTCTGTCTCTCATGACAAGTAGGAGTGCTCTAACTTTGTACTATGATAAAAATTGCTAATGGGAATAAGTCAATACACACAAACATGCACGGCAAACTACGGAAGGAAGTTTTAAACCTCTTAACCTTTTCGGGCGGGTGTTACCTTTTACAGTAAATTATCTTCGATAAAAGCTGATTGTGGTGAACTCATTTATGCAAACAACTAAATCAGCATATGTGAATATTCTTAATCTTATGTTTATGAAGGTTCTTGGTATCGATCTGTCCTGGAGAATGCACAGATCATCTGATGGGCAAAGAAGAAGAGTGCAGATATGTATGGGTCTTCTGAAACCATTCAAGGTATATCTGTAAATACCTTCACCAAGTGAAAAGCATTATCTTTTAACTGTTACAGATTACTTGAAGAAAATGTTGACACAAGATAGAACCCTGCTTGTCTAGGTACTACTTCTCGATGAGATAACAGTTGATCTAGATGTTCTTGCAAGGGCTGATCTTTTGAAATTTCTGATCAAAGAATGTGAAGAGCGAGGCGCTACAATAATTTATGCAACACACATTTTTGATGGTCTTGAGAATTGGCCTTCTCATTTAGTAAGAGCTGATCTTACTTACCTCTTGCTTTATCTTTGGATCTTGAGATAAATACCTATTAGAAGGTCTGAGACAACCCATTGAAGTAATTTTTAGAAATTGAGAATCAGAACATGTATAACCCAATATCATCAAACTTACATCCCTTTTCAAGTTTGCATTTGTTCCTTTGAAGGATTCCTTGAAAAGTTAAGGATTAGCTTCTTAAAAAATTAACAAAGTGATGGTTAGAATAATTGTTTTATTTGCAGATATATGTGGCTCATGGGAAGCTGCAATTAGCAATGCCAATGGATAGGGTGAAGCAGATCAGCAATTTATCACTAATGGTAAGTTCTGGTGTACTAAGAAAATGTGAAATCCAAAATAGAACCTCATTCGGGTTTTCTTTGAAACTCAAACATGTTTCCTTTCATACTCTTAGCTAGATGTCCACATCGATAGATGATCTGATTTTATCTAATACCTGGACATTATGACTGAATCATATGATATATACTGTGGCAATTTATCTCATTTGGACTTTGCATGGTCGTTCTACCTGGATATACAGAGGACAGTAGAGAGATGGCTGAGGAAAGAAAGAGACGAGGAGAGGCAACGACGGAAAGAGAGGAAGGCAAAGGGCCTTCCTGAATATGAAAAACAAGTTGAGGGCACTCGAGTGGTAGGGGGAGATCCAGGTCGTGCTGCTGGTCGTCCATTAAACAATGGTTGGGCTGGTGGAACACTACATTCTACTATTGCTGGCGAAGAGAACTTTTTCTTAAGCTCAAACCGTGTTCTAAGATAAAGAGAACTGATGCACACTTCTTTGGAACTGGTGTCAACGTACTTTACCATTTCATTCTTTCTGGTCAGATAACCATGAAGCTAGAACTGATAAAGTTTTAAATTTGTAGATTAGAATTATTCTGTTTATTTGGTTTGTATACGTATCTCCTATTTTCTATATGCTCTTGTGGGGACTAAAAAGTTGGTGTAATCTTACAAATTGAATAGGTTAAATTGTTGTCAACACATTGCGAGCCCAAATGTTTTTCCAAGTTGTGATTGAATCCATATCATGCTTCTATAGAACATCTGTACCATTGTTCTGTACCATTGTGTTAAGTACGAGCAAGTCGACCAAAAGTTTGAATTATGGAGAAGAATGAAGAATGAATATTAAGGATAATTTAAGACACAATAATATTGCACAACTCATGTAAAAGTAAATGAAGTAAGCGGGGGATTAGATTGAATTATAGAGTCTAAATGCTAACAATGGGAAGTTTTAGGAAGGTGTTGTGCTATTGCTAGTATCCTACCAAAGTGGAAGACAAGCTTTATATGCTATTGATATATGAGGGTAAACATTAGGTCTTTGATGGCCAACATATACACACAATCAAGAGTACGACAACAACAAAAAATGAGGTTACACTGGATGATTTGATGGGCAAGTGCACAAGTAATGTCATACGATTACTCAGAGTCGGAACTAATTCAGGTTGACGGCAGATCAGACGCTAGCAGTTTCGTGTTTGTTAAAGTTATATCAGATTAAAATTATCACAAGTCTGCTCTGGAAGCTTAGAAATTATTGAACTTCAATTGTTATAGGGTTAGACTTTGCAAGGATACTTCTCAACCAAACAAATAGTTTCAACTGAAAATTTGTTTAGTAGAGATAGCACAGATATAGTAAAGACCTGCTCACCAGCAGTATAGAAAAGCTTCACTAACTAAAACATACGAACACTGGGCGAGAACATCAAGTCTTAATTAAAACAAAATGCCAAAAGCAGAGTCATTGAGAATATGTAAACCCAGAGTATAAAATATTACATGAATTCAACTAAAGTTACTGTAAAGCAACATTCTTTTAAAGAAAGGAAAATGTACTGAAAAAAAAATAATACTGATAAGTGGATCCATCTCGCATGGTGCACAAGTGTTCTAGACATTGTTGAAGTCTATATTGACAAAAATATAGCTGCAAAAATCATGGATCTCATGTTCAACCCTGCAAAAACAAGGTCATTGGATGATTAGAGCAAGTTTAAGAATCAAATTAAAGCTAATCTGATAATGCGCTCCATACCTTGTTTGCAATGTTGTTTGAGAGCCAGTCAAGCCCCTCATACAACCCTTCTCCAGAGGTAGCACATGTGCTCTGAATGTACCTGTTATAGAAAGTCATAGATTCAGCATTTGGTAGCACATGCAAGTCCTATCAATCTCCAGCACCATACTAAATAAACACATATACTTGAACATCTTACAAATAAGGTAACACAAAATAGTACATACCAGTGACGCTGACGGAGGGAGTGCAAACCAAGCTTGTCGGTAATCTCAGCAGCATTCATAGCATTTGGAAGATCTTGCTTGTTGGCAAACACAAGCAGCACAGCATCCCTCAGTTCATCCTATGCATAAATTGCAAAATTCATTCAAAATAAAGTATGAGTGAAAGGAACCAACTCCAAGATGCTAACTAAGAACAGAAAGTTGCTATACAGATCATTGCAGACTTTCAAGTGCCCCACGGGCCCATTTCCGGATGTATCTTGTGTATGCACCACCAGACATGGGCCTCCCCAAGACACAATATAATCTTAAATGAAAGAACGAGGGTGCGTGCTGCATACCTCATTCAACATGCGATGCAGCTCATCCCTAGCCTCAACAACACGATCACGATCATTACTATCAACCACAAAGATAAGTCCTTGTGTGTTTTGGAAGTAATGCCTCCACAATGGTCTGATCTGGAAGTGCAAGAAAATTGACAAGGAACAACAGAGGACATAAAGTATGTCAATATCCGAAAGACATGCCATACAAGTCATTGCATATCTGCAGATTTTAGATAACTATGTACTTGATAGCAGCAGAGCACGCAACATTTAGAATGATACTGAACAAAATATCATATCTTGGTTTTATATTTCTGTTATTCTAGAATATGAACATTTAGTGAAAAATTAGAAAAATAAGCATGGTGAATCTGAAATACTAGTAAGAGAATGAAAATATAATTCCAAAACCACAAATGCTCTTTCTATAACTTGCCAAGTTTAAGTAAGGTCAGTGTGAAGTCAGCAAAACTCAAAGTAGAAGAACTTGAAAATCATCTTCTAATATCAGATACTGAAAAGAGCATAGCACTTTGTTTTAAGGCACTAAGTACCTTGTCCTGACCCCCGACATCCCAGACAGTGAAGCTTATGTTCTTGTATTCAACAGTCTCCACATTGAATCCTGATAAAGAAGGAGTTATTGCAAATAACATTAAGAGCAGTAGCTTGAATCACTACAAATAAGACAGACGTGTCAGCAGAACAACCATGCTTCTAGAAACAGAGGACATAATTGTGGTGCATAGCTGTTTGCAGCAGAAAGTGGATCTAGAATATTAAATATATCTTGAAACAGAACATAAGTAGTCTTGAAGGGTTCCTTATATCTTACTCATGCTGAAGATGGAAGTTTGACATGCTCTGAATCAACAACAAATATTCGGGACATCTCTTAAATATATAGTTTGCTGAAGAAAATGACCAACGAAGGAAATGGGACCCTTTAAACTTCTGACCAAGTGTTTCTATGTCGCTTTTTGAAGTTAAGCTCTCTTTACGGTTTTACAACTGGTCATAGAAGGTTATCCCTGCAGTTAAACAGTGTGATTTTGATTTGCCACTAGGTTCTAGTGAGATAATGTCAGTCTGCAGAAAGAAGGACTGCTAGCAAGTATATTGCTGAAGAATCAGTTAGATTTGTATTTTTCTGGGGTCATAGTTGATACCTTCTGTTTAAAGTAATAAATTTTTCAGACAAGAAAATAGTTTTGATTAGTGGCTTGTCTGGTTTGGAATTTAATTGGTGGTTAAATGTGTTCAACAAGCTCCACTACTATATAGTATTCCATTGGAGACTACTGCAGAAACTCTACAATACTATGATCGGGCAACGGATGTTGTGGGGATGGCGTATGTCTTGTATTCCATTGTTCATATCAAAAGTGTGTAATGGAGTGATGAAGCCAGCTCACTTACGAAATTCTAAGGATGATTTGTGTTCACGTTGGTACTTCAGGATACTTAAGGGTGTAGCTTAAATTGTGTGTTTAATATAGAGATGTTTAGGCAGAAACTACTCAAAACAAAAACACAGTGACAGTGATACGATAATAGCGATATATCAGTCCTGCGAGCAATAAAACATGTATAGTACAACACACAAGATAAATTACCAATGGTAGGAATAGTGGTAACAATCTCTCCCAGCTTGAGCTTGTACAATATTGTGGTTTTACCAGCTGCATCAAGACCAACCATCAGAATACGCATCTCCTTCTTGGCAAACAACCGGCTGAAAAGCTTCCCGAATGATAAACCCATCTTTTTTTCAATGCCTGTCAGGACCAAAATTAAGATTCAAATTACCACACAAATTCACCCGTTAAGCTTAAGCCAACAGATTAGGTTACATAAATGCACAATCATGAACAAAATTATGATCTGAAGCCAACAAAAATCCAAATTATGGTGTCTGATCTTCAGGCTTCATTTTCGCTGCATTAGATGTATCAAAAAAACCAACTATTGGATCCTTTTCAAAAGATCTCATCATAAATTTCAATTATCCATGAGAGATGCATCGCAACAGGTTTAAAAATCGATAGAATCGACGACCAATCGGATCTTACATAACTAATAAAAATCCGGATCCAGAAGAAGAACCCAAATCAAGATCCAAAAAGAAAGAAGAACCCAAATCATACGGAGATTAAATCAGTCGAATAAAAATACAAGAAATCAAAGAAAGATGAAAACTTTATCAAATTCCCAGATCTAAAAGGCCAAATTCCAGATCTCCAATTCAGTAAACTCTTCAATGAAGAAAGAGATACATACATAAACTCTGTCAAAATCAATTGTTATGAACCAAATCGACGTGTGTGTGAAAGATAGATGCAATTCAAAGGGGGAAAGAGAGATCTTACAATGATGAAGAAGGAATCACAGAGAGAGAGAGGGGGGGCAGTAGATCTAGAAAAAACTGCCCTTTGTATATAATTGACAAGAAATGGGAACCTTTGGATGTTCTCTTGTTGTTTTAGAAGCCTCTAATATTTTAATGTCAACCCTATTATTAAATTGTCACAATTTTGAATTTTCAAATACTCTATTTAGGATTCTTTTACTAACGTAAATAATAAAGTTGGTGTTATATTATAAATTGTATAGGTTAAAATTGTTGTAAACACATTGTGACCCCAAATGTTTTCCTGAGTTGTGATTCTTCTTGGTTTTTTATGGAACACGTGTACGATATTACGTTAGTTACAAAATTCTCTAAGAAATTCAATCAAGCGATTGAACAATGGAAAAGAAATTAGTGAACAGATTCATATAAAAGTAAAACACAATTATATAGACATTCAACTTTCAAAATTATTATGTAGCTCCATAAATGTTTTATTAATGCATTAAGTAGTTCAAAATGAGTACTTTTTCTCAAACTTTTTTTATGTTTAGCTAAGAAATTATTCAAATTGGAGATTTTCATTTACCATTATATCATAATTTTTTTTTCCAATTAGTGTTAAATATGAAAAATCGACCTACCGAACTACTGAATTATTATTGTGATGAATTAATTATTATGTTATGTATTGTATTATGTTTTATATTTAAATTATTATGTTATGTATGTAATTTTAAATTAAAGTTTTCATCTTATCATTTTAATTTTGTTCATTTTTTATAGTGAAAATTAATAATAAAATAAAGCTATACTATTGACTAAAATTAGAAAAAAAATCAAAATATTTTAATTTGGGATGAAAGTAATATATATAAATAATCTATTTTAAAAATTATTGTGTTACATTGAAAAATAATTATGAATATTAGATATTTAATCAATGACATTATATATAAAATAATATGTTAATTAAAAAATAATAATAAAATATTAAAAAAGTGAAAATTTTCTAGAAATAAAGAGTAGAGTCTAAAATAGAGAGGATTGGGGTGTCCATTCTCTATTTCATGCTATTGCTTTA